AAGGGGTTAATACTCTATTGAATGCATGGCTTGCAATTCCATTATTTGTTTTTTAGGGTGGGGTTTTTTTTTGGTTTAGTGACTTACATAATTAAGATCCTGAAATTGTCTCTTATATGAATGATGGCACACACAGGCACTGTTATGCCTCCTCATTATGCTGAAGCATTTGTTTGAATTCTGGTATTCAGTGAGATGAATACCAAGTATCAGACAGCCACTATTTCTTCCTGAGTACATTCCTTAATCTTGATTTCTCCCTTTCAAAAACTGACCTGGTCTTGACTGGAGATCAGCAATATTCGACTTGGACAACTTGAGAGAATTCCAGTGTGATGTCTGAGCCTTTTGCAGAAAATTAGGTGTCTGAAAGTGTACAAGTGTTACTACATCATATAGCACTGCTTATAAAGGTGCAAAATATGAAGTTGGATAATACTAATATTGTAGTATCTTGCTTTGACCTGCTGTTTATGATTAAAGTCCCAGGCATTATTAAACCACTGTTATCCCTGGCTGTCAGCTTTGATGCTAGGTGCTGTATTTGTACTGTTTGCATCAAACATGCTTGGATAAGAAATTCAAGTGAATCTAATATAAATGTCCCCATTGTTGCAAAATAGCTTTTTCATCTAATGCTTTTATTTATTTCTTTAAAATGGCAGTGAGAAGTACACACCAATAGAGTGTGGGATTTTTTAAAATATTGAGACTTACTTGTAAATAAAATTTGAAGTTTACCTTTGTGTTAATGAAGCTGCTGAGGTTGATTGTAGCAATTTTAAAATGTGTTCTTGTCACTAAAATTTAATGCTTCAGGATTTATTTATTTGTATTCCTCTTGCACAGTAGTGTAAAGTAGTAAAATATTCTGTGTGTGGATATATTTAAACTGTCTTAATATGTCCTCATAGTCTTGCTGCTTTTGTGTTTGATTTAGGTAATCCTGTGCTAATACTTATTTTAATGTTTTTTAAATGCCTTTAAAGTACAAAAGAAAAAGTTACTGCATTGGCCCTTTTTTTTTTTAATTGCCTTATGGCTGGGATATCATTTTTAGCTTCCTTTTCATTTGAAATGATTCCACTTTGACAACTGAAAGTAAAAATGTCATTTGATCCAAATACTATGTGGTCAATATGTTATTAATTGCCAATGTCTAAAGCCTCTTTTTCTTTATAATGTTCTTTGATTAGATTAGTAATCAATAACAACTTTTTCAGGTTTTATAAATGAGAAGTTTATATAGACAGCAAGGAACTTGTTAATAGTTTGAAGAATTATAGGCAATATAGGCAAAACCTGGTAACATGGCTTAATATACCTTAAATAGTTTAAACAAAACGACTGCTGTGAGGTTTTAAGGGATCTGTAACACGTCAAATACTAGAGGCTACAGAAGCTGGTACTTTAGGGTAGTGCAACTGCTGATTTTTACCTGTCATTCTGCTAATGGTCTGTTATTCCATCATTTCCAAATTGAAAATTAAGGTACCTACGTTTGAGCAATCCCCTTCTCTTAGCCCTACTGGGCAGCTGGCTTGTTTTGTTAAAGGGTATAGGAATTAAAATAAGTAAGTTTAAAACAAAACAGCAACAACAAAAAACTCTTTGACCATAATCTCTGTAACACTTCAGTGGAGAAGAGAAAGAGATGGTTCTGTTACTTGCTTATAGAAGAAAACAGGAAGGTCAAGAGTGGGAGGAAAACTTTAGTAGTTGGTAAAAATATGAAGTGGAAAGCTTCTCCAGTAATGTTAGTTACCTTTGTAATATTGGTAGCAACTTTCTACATTTTTCAATTTAATGGAAGAAACCCCTGCTGAGATTGCAATCCATGATTACCGTTAGGTTTACTTTCAAACTATAAAGTTTGAATGGTTTCATACCTGAATTCTGAGTATAACTTGCTTTTATGTTTTACTTTCCCTCATAAAAAGTTTCAATGTTAAAATAACATTTTTTTTTTTAAAGTAGTAAAATAAGCTTTAAAAGATATCGCCTGTCGTCTTCACAAAGCTTTAGAAGGTAGATATTGCTCTTTTTGCTTTACAGACAGAGGCTTAGTGGAAAGTTAAGGTTTTTTTTTAAAAGAGGCGGGAAATCTGAGATAGTGCTAGGAATTGTCAAACTTCAGTTCTTTTTCCTAAAAACAAAATTAGCAGAATGGGCCCAAATTGTCCTTACTTGATTGAAGGTAGGGGGGAGGTATTTTTACCATGTAAAGTTGCGCTGATCTTAAGGTTAAATTCCCATTCCACTTGTCCCTCTACGAAAATGAAATAAGATGGTACCTATTCTCACACCTTTTTCTCAAGGGGGAATGGGCAGAAGAATGGCAAAAGTTCATCTTGCATCTCTGTATGCAGGCCCTGGTAAATAGGATTTAATTGCTGCTGCCTTTTAGGTCCTTGTTCCAAAACCAGAGGATCTTAGCAGGATCATTTTGGTAGTACAGATGTTTCAGAGCAAGCTGCAGGCAAACAGGTATACCTCTGTCAAATCGGAAGGAATTAGTTACCCTTATGGTGGCTGTGAGAAGACAAGCAGTAGCTAATGCACTCTAAAGGCAGTGTGATGCAGGCAGGTATCTACATCAGCAGGCTTTATGTGAAAGCAGGTAACTAATTTTTTTTTTTTTTTAAACAAATGTAAATTTATGTTGCATCTCATAGGGCCACAGCATTTTTGACCCAGCATTTACAGCTGGCTCTAGTGTGTTGCAGAATAATAGTGTAAGTTCTTAATTTTCACCTTGGTTTTCACATTAACAGTAAAGTAATTGCACCTGTCCCTTGCCTTCTAATTGATGGCTATTTTTGTTTTCTTGTGGTGCCCTGGTGAGGGTGGATGTCATGGGCCAGAAGTGAAGGGCACATGGAGTTTGCCTATAAATGAGGTGCAGAAGCCTTGGGCAACTGCTTTGCCAAACCAGCCCCCTCTGGGACTGGCAAGTTCTCAAAGCACATAGGCATGCATGGAGCAGCATTTATTAATACGAGCTCAACTGCAGGGCTTTGGGGCTGGATTTGGCTCTTTGGCCAAGCCTGCGGTCAGGGAGGTGTGCCCTTTTTTTGTCCTCTGGGGTTCCAGGTTTTTTATTTCAGAAAGTGTTAATAATGCAATGAACAAAGGAGGAAGAAACACTCCTTTAAAACTTAATTTCCTAACAAATGGGCCTGCTGGAGATGTTTTAAAATCTTGTGTGTGTGAAAAATGAACTTTTTAAAAATAGGTTTGAACTTTCATAAATTACTGTGCATGTTATTTCAGAAAGGACAGTTAAGATAATACTACAATTATGTTGGTTTATGTTATTGAAAAGGACCGTAATTCTATAGAAAAAGGTATTTGAGTGTACGTATAATAAAATAAATAGGCAAAATGGAGTGATCTTTAATAGCTAATGGCAATGCTGTCTTTGGAGCAGTATCAGAGTGATTTATCATTTTTGTTGGGTTCAAACAAAAAAGGTCGGATTAGATTCCCTCAAATTTTGGACACGCTACTTCTCTGCTAGAATGGTAGTTACACTGTTTACAGGCTATTTTCACTAGCAGCTATGCTGATATGACTTATATGTCTTCTATCCACTGAGCATCTCAAAAGCTGCAGTGTTGCTTGACTCTGTCTGCTTCTAGGCTAGAATATGAACATGTCCTCTCTATCCCCTTCACAGTTAAAAATTTTATATTTCCACATTTTGCAGCTTCATTGTTATAACACTTGACTCCAAAATATCAGCTGTTGTGATAGCTTTTCTCAAAAAGCATCTTAATGTGAGATGGTCAAACGAGCAGACCTGACAAGTCAGTGACATTTCTCTGTCTGTGACTGGAATGCTGCATCGGGGTTTGCTTTTGTGCTGTATTGCAAAGCTGATAGCTAGAATACAAATTTGGTCATTAAATGAAGAAATATGTTAAGGATAATTGGATTAAAGCAGGGAGTTCTGTACAGTATATGGCTGGGGGGAGGGAAGTAATTTTATTAACTCTATTTTAAGTTATTTAAATTCTGGATGGCTGATGGTCTTCAGGCATGCTAAGAATGATGCAGATCATTAGGTTTGTAATGGTATCATTAATTGTTTCAAAAATAGTCTAAATCTGTATCTATCTGCTACCATCAGAAACTGTAGCTGTGCATTAGAGTTCATTAAACAATTCAGCTGTGGGCACCTTTCAAAATTAAACAACTTCGAGAATAGTTTCAGTAAAAGGCTTGGAACGAGTACAAGTTCAGATGGAGAACAGCTGTGTTTTGCTGTATAGATATGAGCCTGTTTCACACAGGAAATAAGACCGTGCGCAAATAGGCTATAGTCCTGGAGAGAGCCCCGTGCTGTGTAAGTGTGTTTGTATGCTCCCAGTTGTGAGATGAAAACATCTCAAGGCATACTTTTTTTTTCAATTTTCCAGTAGTCCTTTTATTCCCTTTATCTCTTGGAATAGTTCAGTGCTATGCATATTACGATCTTGTATTCCTGTTGTAATTTTCTTTGCCTGTTTTGCTGGTTAAAAATGGCTAAGTGGTTGTCAAGAAGGATGTCCCTGCATCAGCGCTGGAGGCTGTTAATGACCTGAATGCTCCCAGCGTGGGCTGATTCAGAGAAAATCTTCCTGCAGGTTGTAATCACTTACTGCTGTTGGGAGCTAAAGTTCAGTTACATAGATTTCACTATAATGCTCTTGTGTTAGTGGTGCTAAAGGAATAATTGCCACTTTGCCTCATTGCTAGTAACTTTTCTTTAGGGAGGAGAGAGAAGAAGAACATGCTGAGTGACCTCCACACGTTACCATGTCTTGTCTATCTGTGCCGTTCACCTCCCTTCTATTGAATCTTGATCATCAACGTTTTGAGAGAGATTTTTTTTTTTTACCTTGTTTAATTGGAAGTGCCAGCCATGTTCTGCTTGCTCAAAAAGGTCTTTCAAGTTTGTGATGCGAGTTTGTATTTATAGCATTAACAAAGCCATGTTATTTGTTTTGTTCTCATCTAGGTGCTTGAACTGGGATTTAATTTCTCATCCTATGGATCACTGAAGGAGTAACAGATGGCCTTGCCTCGTCTTACAGGCGCTTTACGCTCCTTTTCAAATGTCACTAAACATGAGGATTACAGTGAAGAATTAGCTGACTTAACGGTAAAGATTTTTTTTTTTTTTTCCAAAGCATAATTGTAAGGTATTAGTGTGCATATAGTAAGACTTGTTTGCTTTCTTAATTTGCATTGCTATTTCATGAGAGGAGGCAAGCAAGACTGGGCAGAGTGTGTATAGCTTTCTGTGCGTTCCTTCATAGTGTCCTCGCTCAAAGTCAAGTTTGCTGTAGCTTTGTGATTTATGCTAGGCCCTTACAGTTGTAATGTGCTATATGGATAGGGTCACTTGGCTGTGTTAGTACAGCCCTGTTATTTTGTGTTTCAGGAAGTTACTTAAGTTGGGCTGGGCTGGTATGTTTTTGGCTCCGAGCTTATGCAGAACTGGGGAGCCAAACGTTGCCCTTTCAATGTTAAGTTCACCTTGGACTCTTGTTGGGGGATGTTTAGAATAAATTTAGTGGTACTGAATTTAGGTACTTCGCCCCCCCGCCAAAGAAATAATGCATTAAAGCAATAGATGTGTTGTGGGAACCTGTAATGTGAAATGAATTTGGGATCTTGGGAGCTGTAAATCTCTTGAAGTTGCAAGAGTTTGGCTTTACAGAGAATTCTGCCTCAGAAAGAGTAAAGTAGTGAGAGAGCATGTGTGTGTGTATCCTCCTCCTTCCTTATGCGCAG